CTTTTCCGCCAGGCAGCTTTCCAGCCACTCTTCCCCAAGCCTGTAGCGCTGCATGGGGTTGTTGTGGCCAAAGTGCAGGACCCGGCACTTGGCCTTGTTGAATCTCATACAGTTGGCCTTGGCCCATCGATCCAGCCTGTCCAGGTCCCTCTGCAGAGCCTTCCTACCTTCGAGCAGATCAACACTCCCGCCCAACTTGGTGTCATCTGCAGGTTTATACATTATTTGAAACTTTGCCACATAGACAGCCCAGTAGCCTTTAAACTGCAATGATCCTTGGTCTCTGTTAACCTGACCTGGATCTGAGCTAACTATTACTAGTCCCTTTGTCCAGCAGAAAATTCTAGCTTGTTCACTGCAAAACTCACCAAACCTGTTGGCTTTTATGGTGTTTTGGGATCCTCAGAAAACAAAACAATTAAATAAGCAATTGTGTTTGCATAGATTTAGTCTTTTGAGTATAGAGTGTGTTGGAGCACCCCATGGTCAGATCTTTCTTGCAGACCCTGTGATTTGACTGTGTCACCAGAATCTGGTTGTTCTGTAAAACATAGGTGCAGGGGTCAGGAAAACAAGTAGTTACAATGAGCACAAGGGACGATTGTGCTTGACTGAAAGATTGAATGAATCAGCCCTGAGCTGAGCAAGGTGAAACAAAGGGGGAAGTTAAAATAAAAGCTGAGTCATGTCCTTAACTGTATCTCTCACTGAGACTGTGTGCTTCTTTTAGATACATTTTGATGGTTGGGACCATAATTACGATTTCTGGGTCGATGCAGACAGCCCTGATGTTCATCCGGTAGGCTGGTGTGCAAAAACTGGACATGCTTTGCAAGTCCCTCTAGGTAAAGTAGATGACATTACATTGCTACGTTGAATAATTTTCCTAAGTGCAGTCTGCTCTTCAGATGCAGGGAGCGTTTTACAAATCTGTTTAACTTTTTTTTTTCTTATTACCAGGTGCTGTTGATCGAGTGGGAACAGTGGGACAAGCGTGTCCTACTCCAGGCTGCCACGGTATCGGTCATGTCAGGGGACCACGATACGGAACACATTATACGTATGTATATGAGATCTTCTTAGAAGGGTTCTGCCTGCGAGAGCCTGACTGCTGACAATAATAATAATGCAGCAACAAGCACCTGCACTGCACTGAAATTATCTCAGGGTGTTTATTCTGGGGATAGTTATAACTGCAATTGCAGCTCCCTCTTGTGTCTAAATGTGCTGTTTCATCATAAATTCTGTTTATACCAGTATAATCATTACAACTGCAATGCAATCCAACATAGATTAATTCACTCCAGTTTCCACATTCCCGCATTGCTGAAGGAATTTGTTTTGTAAAATAACATACCCGAGAACAGCATGCAAGGAGACAGTTAAAGAAGGAGAGAGTGTGGATAGATTATTAAAGTGTAAGAGTGAGGAGAGCTAGCTAATGTTTTGTGCTCTGCCTTTTGATTTCTTATGTGCTCTTGGAAAAGGAAGGTTTTTCTCGATTAAGCTATTTTAAAGAGCAAGAAAACAATCTCAGATGGGAGGTCTGAAGGTCTAGTAGTATATAATGTGGTAAAGGGCTTTGAATTTTTCAGAGTGAAAGTTGCAGGACTCTTTATTTCATGAAATATTGTTCAGACAAGCAGGTTACAGAGGAAGAGCTCTTGTTCTCTGAGGTGACTCTAAAAATATGACTTTGGTTTCTGATTCTGCCATGTAGTCCCCTGCTTTCCCACACCCAAAGCTGGGTAATAACATCTCCCTGAGTGGTTTTGGCCTCACTCTTTCTGGGTTTGTTGATGGATATGTCTGCCTGAGGCTGGTAAGACTGTATGACTTAAAAACGTGCATTGTTCTCCCCCTCTCTCTCTCTCGTTTTTTTCTTTTTTTCTTTAACACAGGTTAGTTGGCTGCCCATATTCTGATGTGAACCTCAACAGAGAAAACTTGTTACAGGACCGCCTGAGTGGGGAGAGACCTTCCCCTAGCAATAGTATGCAGAAAGCCAAGAGGCTGGAGACTCCTGCCCCATTTCTGTTGGGAGCAGGAGAGTCTTCTCAGGAGGACTCTCCACAATCCAGGTGAGCTGAACACTTTTCTTGGGCAGGTACTGGGGAGCAAAACCATTTTACAAGGCTGAAGAACACAGGAATTGGCAGAGAAGCAGCAGAGCATTGAGTTCATCTGTCTGTAATACTGACCCATGCCCCAGACACTCTTAACCCAGAGCAGTGCACTTTTATATCCTCATATGGCTTAATAGGTTTCTTGATTCCTTAATCCTGCTGCTCTGGTCATGTTCCAACAAAGGAAATTGCATTCTGTCTCCATAAATTTTTCCTTGCTGTTTCAATTTAAAATATATTCTTTTCCTTCGTTTCCTGTCCTAAAACTGTCAAGCAAGGTTATTTTGCACTATTAAACTGTAACTGCAATCCACCCCAGAGTCGGCTGCATTACACTGGTAGACGTAATCATAGAATCATAGAATAGTTTGGGTTGGAAGGGACCTCTAAAGGTCATCTAGTCCAACCACGGCAGGGACATCTTCAACTAGATCAGGTTGCTCAAGAGCCCTGTCCAGCGTAAACAATTTCTTCCTTCTAGGTCTAAACCTACCCCCCTTTAGTTTAAAGCCATTCCCCCTTGTCCTGTCGCAACAGGCCCTGCTAATGACTATATGTGTATCACTTGGCAGACAAGTTGAGCTCCTTCAGATACTTTTTCTTACATGAAAATCTTGGAATTGAGTATCATTGAAGCAAACTGTGTGTTAGTTCTTGGACTGCAGGAGGCAGTTAAAGTGTGTCATGGGACAGACCTGGACATGAAGGCTTTTATTATTGTTGCCTTTAGTCTGTACGAATCCGGTCTCACTAGAGCAAACTCCAGCAATACTTTCGGTCTTTGTTGTATATGAAGGCTTACATACATTTTAAAGTTCATTTGTTTTGCTTAGATTTACAACATTTTCAAGATATATTTGGCCAGAAAAAAGGAATACTTCTGTCCCCTCCCTGGCATACATGGCCAAAGTTTGCCTCCTCCCATCCTAGAAATGTGCAGGGGTCTCCACTTGCTAATCTCAACACCAGAATTGATTGCATTATGGCAATATGCAATTATGGCACTGTTACCATAATGCTCTCTCAGGAGCTTTGGGATTGTCCCAGAATAAATGGCATTCTAAAATTGTAATATATTTCTATTCTTCTAAGTATTTCATTTCCTGATAGTGGGAGGTCTGAATTCAGTATGCAAATCTGATAAAACCCTACTGCTTGTCCTTCCTTGGGCCACTGTGTAGCTCATTTATGCATCAAACTCAGTCATGGAGACTCTTAAATGTTATCCGGCGGTATCAAGATTCAAAAATCTTAAATCTCTTGATTTCACCATAACACATGCTTCAGTGAGTTTCTTGTAGCTGCTGGGATCGGAGCCTCAGTCCACAGGGGCTGATTTATTTCACATAATCTCTTTCAATCCGTGCTGAAGAGTAAAAAAGCACTTTGACTGTGCCAGTAATGATGGCGAGGGAGAGGAAAGCTTCTACCACTAGGTGGTGGTTGTTGCTGTCACTTGCAAGGAGCAGCCAGCTTTGCTCTCCTGCGGGAAAAGGGAACAGAGGATGTCAGTTTAGCTACTATCATTTATCTGTCTTTCCAGAAAATCTGCACAAGACAGTGAAAAGTCATGTCAAAGCAGTGTTCACAGTCTGTCGGAACAGTCTGAAAACAATCAAGAGAGAGACTGGGTAGAAGAGGATTCCTCTGCAGACATCAAAGCCAAACCGAAAAAGTAAATAAGATTTTTGTGATGTATTTTCATGCATTAACAGTTGTGTTTCTTGATGTTACTGCTATGTCTGAAAAACAGACCTAAATCATAACTTAGAACACCCCAATTTGATCAGAGATTTGCAGCATAGGGTCTTAGAATGACATAGTAAATCTCCCTTCCTTCCATTATTTTGGGCCCTCTCTTTCCTGCAGTAAACTCAAATCTGAGTTCTAGCCATGAATTTAATAGCACAGTCCTTAGCTTAGAGAGAGGTCAGGGACAGAGCAGTGCTATTGCTTATTTTATGAGGGAAAAGGTTTTGGTTCCTAAAAGTCCCTTTAACCTCTGTATAGAGAAGAAATTATATCAATTTGTGTATCTTTTGAAATGTTTTGTAATTGATGCTTTCAGGCTTGGGTGCTCGCATGCCTATATAAAGTTCCAGCTGGTGAAACAGGAAAGCAGTGGGAAAGGTTGGTTAAATTTTACTTCTTTTTCTGTACGTGTGCATATATGTGCAATATACCACAGTCACAGGGAGCATTTAAAACTTTACAGCTTTTTTGTCTTTGATTCCACAGTCAAGAGAAGGCACATGCTGGAGGTGATGGTAATGGTAGTCTTCTTCCTTTAAAATGAGGAGGAAGGGTAGAATTACTTAGAATTGAAATGTTTAATACTTTGTAGAGCGAAGCCTCATATTTATTAACTGAGAAGACAAGCTTGCACCATCTCTTGTATCACTGCATACTTTTCTGAAGTGGCAAGGGGTTTTTGTTCCCCAAGCAGCTGATCACCATTCTGCTGACAGAGCCAGAAGTGACAGCGGAGACTTGGTCAAAACCTGGCAGATAGTTTAAGTTCCATCGACTTCTTTCTTTAGACCCCAGTGGATATTCAGAAACATAAATAGAATCATTTTGGGTGGTGCCTTTTTTAAGGTTCTCCTAAGGATGACAAATAAAAAGAAAAACAATGCCTTTTTTTTTTTCTGGTACGTGACAGGTTAAGTTTTAAGAGAAGCTTTCTGATACCACTTTAGCAAACCATATGCTTAACTTCCAGATTTACTATAAAAAGCTATTTCGGAGAACTGAGCTGACCAGGCTTTTAGGAGGATTTAACATGGTAATAAGTCTCCAATCAAAAATAGCTACGCAGGCACAAACTGGGACAGGTGCCTTGCTTTTTTTTTTTTTTTAATACTCATTTTTACCTAGTGCTGACTTCTGCAGTCAGAGCTGGAGAAGTTTGCCAGCTATGAGCTACAGGTGCAGCGTGGAG